TTTTCATTTTCCTCTGGTTCTTGAATGGAATCGGGTCTTGAGTCCATATCTGTTCGCCCTTGTTCAGTTGAGGCTTGTGTTGTGGTATCCTCAACTGGATTCTGTAACTGCTATTTTCTTTCGTTTCTCATACTTGAATCTACTACAGAGTTGATGCTCCTGGATGTCTGTTGATCCCTACGGATTTGACATATTCCCCATGGTGATGGAAATTTGATAACCTGATGCAAGATAGATGGTACGACATCCATCTCGTGGGTCCATGGTCTCCCCAAAATCATATTGTAAGCCATTTCCAACTCCACCACCTGAAATTTTGTATCCTTGACAACCCCTTCTGCGAATGTAGTAAGCGTTACCTCTCCTTTTGTCACAACGCTTGAGTTGTCGAATCCAGACAAGGTATGCCCCTTTGGTACTAGCTTATCTTCATCTTGCATCTCGTGTAGTACTCTTAGCAGGATAAGGTTCACGGAACTACCTGGATCAATCAAAACTTGTTTCACATTAGTATCATGTACAAGTAGAGATATTACCAGTGCATCGTTATGTGGAGTTAACACTCCATCCGCATCTGCATCATCAAATGTAATACTTTCTTCCTCCAAAACATGTCGAACCAGCTTCCCGTGGGTAATTGTGACTTTTGAAACTTTATTTGCTGCTGCGTACGTCACACCATTAATTTCTTCACCTCCGCTTATTACATTAACGGTCCTTTTGGGAGAAGGCGGTTTAGGGGGCTCCTGCCTATTCTTCATGTATGCTTGTTTACCTTTCTCACTGAATAATTCGGTGAGATACCCTTGCTTCAATAGATGACAACTTCACCTTGTAGCAACCTACAATTTGCCATTTTATGACCATGATCGTGGTGAAATTCGCACCAGTGATCAGGATTGCGCCTGTTTAGATTTGATCTCATTTCTTTTGGCCACCGCACCTTATCACCCATGCTTCTTAAAACAACTACGAGCTCGTAAGTGCTTACATTAAAATTATAACCGCCAAATCTTTCCTTCACGTTTCTATCATCATCCCGCGTCTCTCGCGTGTTTCGATCATTCCCAAACCTTGATGATGAACCCGACTCTCTATTCCTCGATCTATGATCGTACCTTGAATAGTCCTGTTTTGATCGTGAATCTTTTCCCACTGGGCCCATATATGGTTCGTATCTGTTTTTACCGGATCTTTTTTCGGTTTCCGCCCGTCTCGAACTCACCTTTTCCTCTTTTTGGGACCGTGAGATAATATCTTCTTCTATCCTTAGCTTTGTGCTATACCTGTTGTAAACGTCATTCCATGTTGTTGCTGGGAATTCACGAAGACTTTCCTTGAGTCGCCTCGTGGCTTCTGAGCTTTTTTAATGCAAATTACTGGTGAAGGCTATAGCTGCCCAATTGTCTGGTACACGTGGTAACGTCGTTCTTTCACGCTGGAACCTATCCACGAACTCTCTAAGTAGCTCTGAGTTCCCTTGCTTGATTTTGAAAATATCTTCCATTCTTTTTTCGACTTTTTGAGCTCCCAAATATGCTTTGATAAATGAATCTGCAAGCTCAGCAAAAGAATTTATAGAATTTTCGGGTAAAAGGGAATACAATGTTAATGCCCCCTTGGTGAGTGTTTCACCAAATTTTTTAACCAACACTGATTCAATTTCTTGTTTGGTTAAATCATTGCCCTTTACACCAGTTGTGAATGCAGTTACATGGTCTCGTGGATCAGTTGTGCCATCATATTTTGGAATATCGGGCATTTTGAACTTCTTCGGGATCGGCACAGGAGCTGCACTAGGCTTCCATGGTTGTTATGAGTACTTGTCCATGTCTATTCCTTTGATTACAGGTGGCACTCCAGGTATTTGCTCTATGCGATCGCTTTGCTCCTTGAGCTGCATCTGCAAGGTTAGAACTAAATTTTGTAAATCAGAATTAACTATGTTTCCTGGTTCGCCGTCGCGAGACTCGCTTGGGGTTCCACCAATGCCTGAGTTAACGAGCCCAGAACGTGGGTTTTCCAAAGTGTTTTGATTCGGAGTTGGTGTTGGTGGTACAACTGGCAATTGGCTGGTAAAAGCACGGAGAGCATTGCTAACTTGTTGAGCAATGAGATTTTTGAAGGCATCATCGAGTGCTTGTTCGTTCGCAATTCCAGCATTTTGATTTTCCTCGAATCCGTTTTGATTTGCAACCCCATTATTCAGAGCCTTCAGGAGTTCCTTCTCGTGACTGACGTTGCGAATCACGTGGTGAGGGAAGCGGGGTCCTGTCACCCGCGTTATTTTCCTGATGTTGAGGATCTTGTTGGTTGTTGTCGTTATTACTCGACATGGTAAGTTTTTTGGATGAAAGAATTGATTAAGAAAGTATACGATTATCAGATTCCCGATAACGGAACCAATTTGTTTAACCAAAAATAGTAATTTTGGTCAAAGCTTTCTTTTAGAAGAACACGGGTTACTGATAATCAATACATAAAATTAATGAAAGAGATTGGCTTTGATAATAATAAGAAGAACAGAAGAAAACAAAGTAAATCAGTATATTCCAATGATATTTCGTGTCCTTACAAATGATCAATCTTCTCCTTTTATAGCTATTTCTAAGTGATACGTTTCCTTTCTTCCATAATTAAGCCATTATTGTCAATTAATGGCATTTAATGACATTTAATGTAACGTTACAATCAGCAATCATATTTGATTCAATACAGATTCCTTAACGTTTCCGTATTTAATGCTCAGTAGTACGTATCTATTCCTTATTTACTATCAGATTCATTCTCTTCCATCATAAAGAGGTTCGAACACCTGTCTTCCTCTCCTTTTATCTGAATGTCTGCCCGTGCCTGTTGAAGCTCGTGCCTCTTTGATTATTCTTCATCAGTTATTTTTCTTTAACTGGTCCACGTATCATGACCTTTCATCTTATATTGAATTTCATATATAAACTTAATTTTCCCTAATACAGGAACCTTGTAGGAGAATTTTATTGCAAGAAATCTCGTTGTTAATGTCTTTATAGGAACTTGAATTGTAAAAGCTTCTAACGTTCTGTTATGAAGGAATTTTGTAAGACTTTCTAAACAATTTCGTTGCTAAGGTGCAAAGCTCACCCATGAATTGTAGTGTGTTGTAGTTAAAAGCTAATGTTCTAATTTGTGTCTTTGTATTCAAGACATGGGAAATGAAGTTTTGTTGAAAGCTTTTGTGAAAGTGGCTAACGTTACTTTGCCACCTAAAGTCTTAGAATGAGTATGTAATGTTTTTACATTAGTTTGCCACCTTATATCATATAACCCTTAAGTCATTTGTTTTTTTAGCTTCCTTGCTGCCACGTTTTGGGTGGGTGGGGGGTGGTAGTCTTATCTTATAATTGTGATAGTTAACTAGGTAATGTCCTGTTACTCGATAATTAATCAATTACCCACATAATTAGGAATTATCTCAACTACTTAAAATACTACTCATTTTTAATATACTTTATACATCATACTATCGTGATCATATGGTATTTTGTATGGTACTAGTCCATAATTATCGGATGTTATCGGTCGACCCGTATTTTATCCCAAATCGGTAACCTTCAACGAAACTCGTTTTCTTTAATTCGTGTACCCTTTATCCTTCATGACACTTACTTATCGCTTGTTATAAATTGCATAAATACGTTAACCTCAAGATAATCTCATCCCCGAGTCTACGTCGATTAACTCAAGACAAAACTTTAAAGTACGAAAATGCGAGATGTAACATCATTCCCCCTTTGAAACATTCGTCCGCGAATGTTTAACTCTTCGGGATTTATATAGCCTTGGCAGAGTCGCCTTTGTAAAAATACTACTACTAACTCTTCCTGTAGAAACTCAATAATTCAACGCCACATAGGACCACAATCATCAATAACGACAATGGCCTCACACGACCAATGACAGTAACTGACACAAGAATTCATACACGTACTTTAAGGTTATGACGTCTCAGTCGGACCCTTCTCTGGAGGAGGAAATAATTAGGGATATTTGGACTTCATGTCTTCCTCGGCCTCCCAAGTTATTTCTTCCACATTGTTGTTTCTCCAAAGTACTTTCACCGAAGCTACGTCTTTAGTTCTCAATCTCTGAACTTGTCTGTCTAGTATAGCAATGGGAGTTTCTTCATATGATAGTTGCTCCGAAAGCAAGTCTAACTTATGCTACCTGGCTTACCTTGCGTATGATCCTATATGGTCCAATGTACCTGTTACACCCCGTACTTTAATATTAGGATAAGTCGTAGTAATCCATATGAGGTTGAAGGGATTAAGACTCCGAAAGTTTAAAAACCTTAATACCGTTAGATATTATTAGTGTGGTATTTTCTTTTAAGTAAAGTATTTTAGTAAAAGTTTTATAAGTATAATTTTGGATAGTTACTATTATTACTATTTTCGAATATGGTAAATTATACTCATAATATAAGAAATTTTATGAGATTTTCTTTACTGTAAATACAGAAATTATTTTCTCACAAGAAAATAAGGTTATCTTTCTACCATTATAAGAATTAAGCGTACGAGAATTTTTACTCTTTATAAGAGACTAGGAAAATTATAAGTTAAGAAATATATGTATTATTACATGGATGTTTTAATAAAATAATAGTGCATGTATTGATTTTATATGGTACCACATGACCACGATAGTAGGGTGTATATAAAGTATATAAAAAATGAGTAGTATTTTAAGTAATTAAGATAATTCTTAATTATGCGGGTAATTGGTTAATTACCGGGCAGCAGAATACTACCAAATTAATTATTGGATAAAGTTTAAATTCCCCAACAAGGGGATTACGTGGCAGCAAGCCACATCTTTAGCAAATGACTCTTAGTATTTTGATTAGGTGGCAACATTTAGGCTAGTTATAAGATACTTTAATTAAACTATATAATAAGTGAAAGCTGGGTTGGACGACGACGAAAGGCATTTTCGTAATTAAATCGAAAGTCAAGGGTTATACTAATGACTTATAGGTGTCTTATTGTAAACACCACGTGGCTTTAATTTTTGTTCATCCTTTTGGCGTCTCTTCCATCCAATGAAAGCTACCATTTTCAGAGCCCATCCCTCTCTTCCTGGCAAGTGGTTCTTTTTCTTCTTCATCTATCCCTTTTGCTCTTATTTTAATTTTTTTATTTTTTTTCAACTCTCTTGATATAATTGGGGTCTTTTGAAGATGGTCACTGTATTTTTATGCACAGTAAAGTTCGATCCTTAATTCCTTCTTATGATGTTATCTTTCTAACGATTCTTCTTCCTCTGATCTCTCGAATGAGTTATCTTTTGGTGAGTTCTCTCTTTAATTTCATTCTACTGTCTTTTTTTGTTGCAATTTAAACCATGTTTTGAAACTTAGAATATGATTGATTTGAACCTAAATGGATCTAACTACAAGAATCGTCTTTCCTCTTCACTCCCAGGACTCTTGCTAGCATCGTGGATGTATGTTTTCCTCCTTTTCTTTTTTATTTCCTCTGTTTTTCTCCTTTGTTGCTCTGCATTTTTTTGGTTGATTTGGGAATAAATGCTAATTTTAGATTATTATTATTTTTGCATGTTTTGGATAATAGCAAATTAGCTCAATTTATTGTTCTTTTCGTAAATTTGTAAAATGGTAAATATAACTTCAGAAATTTTCCATACGTGTCTCTGCATAAGTCGCTACCTATCAAGTTATTTCCTTGCAGTCCCTCAAAACCATGGGCGTGCTTCTCTGCTTCTCTTCTATGTTCATCTTGGTATGAATTTTTGGCTCTCTCTTTTTCTGTTTTGGTTTGCTTACTCTGTCACTGTTTCTCCATGTTTCTCCCTCCGTCTCTCTGATTTCGTTATTTTTGGTTTTATCTCCTCATCTTATTCTTATTAATTATAAAATAATTAATTAGATTCCACTGCTTTCATCTGCATTTCTTGATTTAACATCGAGATTTAAAACAAATACTTCTATGTTGCATGGTTACAGGGAAAAATTATACGAAATTGAGGGAGAATTTAGAACAGCAATACAAACCGTGGTCCTAATCGAGAAAGACCATGAAGTGAAAAAGGAGCTTATGGCTAAAAAATTTGTAAGAAGGCTTGAAATGTTTCTACTTCTTGGACAAAGTAATCTATTGTCTTTAAGGAGGTAATTATACCACTTTATAAGATTTATAGTTTAACTTATGTGGTAGGTGCATTTCTTTGGAGGAACAAAAATTTTTGAAGAGCCATTTTTATTCAATAACTATTGTTACTACCCCTTCGGCTTCTTCCATTCAAAAAAGAAAAGGTAGTCTTTCCTTGGTAAATAGTGTCTTGAAGTGAAGCGAAGGCATCTTCAACTACTTTGATTTGAGACTTCAAGTCTGTTGAATTGTACATGAACGACATGTCTTTTAATTTGTAGCACCTAGTTGATAGATTTCATAAGGCGTCTGCTTATGGTTATTAGGCTGTTAAAAGTGATATATATATAGACTTCATAGGTGGTTTGTTTTAGCTACTAGGCTATAAAAGATGATATATGAAAAAAAAAAATATAACAAATTTGTAGATGTGTACTGTAACAGCAGTTGATGCATAGAGAATTAGAGACTAAGAGGATCTTTTGATAAGTTAGAGATAAAGAGGATTAAGAAGATAAAAAAGGAGAAAAAAATAAGAGAAAGGGATCACTAGATAATACAAATTTATTTTATTAACCAAAACCTGCTGAAGAAACTTGACGATTAAATATTCCTTTTTGGTAATAAATAATAGTAGTTTGGTGATTAGTCTAACACTCAGGGGCAATGCTCAGACAATACTTCTAAATATTTTCAAGCAAAATAGAGTTGCCTCCTTATGAATAAGTACACCAACTCAAAGCTTTTTGCTTATGAGACTTTCAATTTTTAGAGTTACTGCACCCCTATGAACAGAAGAAGTGACTAATTCATACAACTTCCTCTATGTTCTAACCTGAGGGGGAACTGCTAAATATTTTATAGTGCCTTACCAGTCACTCTCACTGCCTCTTCCAAAAATTGTTACATGGTATGGCAATGCTGGCAACTCCTCTTGGACGTCTTCTTTTATTTCCATAAAAATAATGTCTCTATGTTATAATCGATTTGCATTCCATTGTTTCAGAATTACCTCCTGATATAAAAGAACTTTCTTTACGAGTTTGATCTTACCTGCTCTTTAGTTTCCAGATTTTTCATTTTTATTGGCCTTTCTACTTTAAATCTTAGTTGTTCTCCTTTGAATCTATCAATGAATCTACCCGTATTAAATTGAGTTTGATCAATTATTTTTTTCTTGGCACATCTACTGGATACATCTTGACAACTTAAAAGTATTTCAGTTAACTTATATAAGCTCTCGAGCTATGAATGGTTTATATTTGACTTAAGGTATCATTCCTTTCAAGGAATAAGTGTTATAGTTGCAGTTTTTTCAAGAGTAATCTGTGCTCATTGTTTTGCTGATAACTTAGGTGAATTCGTTGACAAACCCTTTTTATATTCAAACGTGTGTATGTATTTGTCAAGAAAGTTTATAAAAACCCAACCAAGGGGGCATCTTACAACTGAAATACTGCATATAAATCTGAATGTGATTTGAGATATGGGCAATTGATGCTCCTGATAACTATAACTTATAAACCTTACTCATTTAAAACTCATAAATCCAATTTCTTTTACACCCAAAATTAATTTTCTTGAATGTCGCTACTACATAAGTGATTTTACTGGATTGAGTTTCTGTTTGGCAATTTGAGGAAACTTAATATCGAGATAAATGTAGAAACAAATCGTTCATTATCATAAAGACACATGTATTATATGCATTATAATACGTGTCTCCTTATTCATTTATACTGATTCACCTTTTCAGAAGCTAGAACCTGCACCAAATCTTAGATAAATCAGTTTTCAGTATCCTCATCCTTAGTTTATTCTTCTCTGTGGACTTCACCGGTCTAATAGTCAAATTTCTAAATTTTAGTTTTAAGTTCTCTATGGTTTGACGCATTGAGCTTTACTTTTTTCAGTTCAAGCTTGATTCTGTTCAACTGTATAGTTTCAGGCATACAGAATGTATAACTCAAATATGAGAAAGGGATATCCATTGATCCATTCTAGGGAGGGAAGGAGGGAATAGTGAAGACGTTCTGATTTGTTGGAGCCTTGGAGATAAAAAGAAGGATCAAATGCATGAAGTTAATGAATCGTGCAATACAATACAGACATTTACAGATCACAAGAAAGGGCACAAACAAGTACCTACAGAGCAGCCTGAAAGATGATTCTTTCATCAGGTGCTGCAGCTCTGTCTTCACCTATCCCAGGGTAATGTGAGGGATCATATGTTGAACACCTGAAGCGGACATTTTGTGCATCAAAGACGGAGGTAATGCTCTATCTCCTTTATTTTCATTACTCTTTCCCCCTGCTGAAGTGAGGAGGGTTATATGTGTCTCTTTTACATTGAATAAGATAAGAAAAGTATCTATTGACTTTAGGCTTCAGGTTGGTTTAGGATTGTGCTGGTTAGAGACGTAGATGAAAGGTGTGAATATGTTATTGAGCTTGCATATAAACTAATATCAACATAAGTGACAGAATTACTGTTCGAAATGTGTTGTTGAATGTACGTTGGTCCTCTATATATTGACATATTAAATTAGTACTAACTATGTTGAGAAAGAGAAGTTTTTACGACAAAGAGAAGTTGTAGAAAGGACTAACTATGTTTTTCGAATTACACAAAAAAATAGCAAATTTACTTATATGGAATTTGCAACTTTTAATTTGGGAATAACCATTCAAGGAGCTTTTTTTCTTTTGCACTTAAGTTCTTTTATATGTGACTTTCTCTAATTTCCATTTATGCACTTTTTTCTATTGCATGCAATTTCCTTTTGCCAACATAGATTTACTTATCGAGTTTTACCATGTAAGTGCTCATTGATATTCTGAATGGTCATAAGTTTCGGTTCATCGTTTCAAGTTTCAAATTCAACTGTCTTATTTTGTGTTTATCAAGTTACTTTTCACTTGCCTTTTTTACTTCATCTTTGATCTAAGTATATGTCGGCGGAAGATGGAAAGAAGGATGGAAAGGTAGATGGAAGTCATTGCGAATAATTTGTAATGACTATGAACTCAATTAATTACACTTCATTATTCTGACTTGCCAAACTTATAGAAGTTATAGAGTTTCATTCTTGGAGAAGACGCGTTCACTGAGTCTTCAGTTTACACACAAGAAGTATGGAGAGAGTACAAGGCAAGAAAATACCTTGCAGATTGTTCTATTGTGGCTGAAAAGTTATGGTTTGTGGCCTTACCTTTGAGAATTGAATCTGGATTTAATGTCTTTATTATAATTATTAAAGTGGTCATGTTGCATCCAATTCATATTAATAAAGAAGAAAATTTCTGTGAATTACTTTTGTGAATTGTTTATATAGGTCAGTTTATTCATCAAGAGTGCCAATAATCGTGAGACTTATTGTTTCACCTTCTCATGTTGTGTAGATTGTGCCGCGACTCCATATGGATGAATGTTATTGCAGGATTTTATATATGAGAAAAAATGTCTATTAACTGTTTTCAAGAGTTGAAATATCTCAGATGAGTTGTGTTACATTATCAAATTTTTCATTGAAGGTTGGATGTTGGATATGGTTACATCTTTAAGCGCAATAAACGGGTATGCTAATTTAGTTCTTTCAAAGCAACACTAACGGGGTTTAGAAGAAGGGGGGAAAAAATAATTGGAGAAGAATCTTCAAAATCAATTGTTAACGTATTTGTTGGTATTCTGGATTGTATACTCTCGATTTAGAATTGGAGTTGAGCAAGATCACGTAGAGGATGGTTTCCATGATTCCATCCTTACAGCTGAATCAGTTGATTAAATTAGTTATGTTTCCTTTTTGTTTTGAATCAATTACCTTTGTTATTTCAATATGACCATATTTTTAAACGTTGTTGTAAAGTCATTATTTTTTCTTGAAATTATTAGGCTTAACTATATCATGCTCACATGAGCTCAAACATGTAGATTGTACCGTTGGGCCCGTGCTTAGCACGGGCATCCATATCTAGTCTAGTTAATTATAAGACACTTCAATACGACAATCAACTAAAATTTGGTTCCTTGCAGTTTACTTCCAAGGTGATAGAAGCATTTAAATCTGTTACTCAGAAAGGACTGTTTTTGGATGTAGATGAAGAACCATATGACAATGATAGAAAATGCAAGGCTACTCTAGAACAAGAATTTCCTCATGGAAAATAAGGAGCAGATTTAAATGCCTTCTTTGATTCTACTTTGGGTAACAGATTTAATATATGTCACATGGTAGTGTTGCGCCAGGGAATATAACACAAGTAGTGCTGCAAAATTTATCGTTGATCAATTGCCTTCTTTGATTCTACTTTGGGTTATAGACCAATACAAAGTAAGCTCAAGAGGTACTTTGGTTTTGATTTTGATTTACAGAATAAAAATACAAAAAATTAGGAGCAACAAAAGGAATATGGCATTAACGCCGGAAATGTAGAACTGTGGCCAAAAATAATTATTTCTAATGGATCAAGAGATTGTCAAGAGAATTGGTCCAGGTATGTTAAAGTTATCCCTTCTTTCTCTTTGGCATGATCCAAATTATACTGAGAGATGAGCAAACGTACAGTTTTCATAAACGACTCTATTCATAGAAATACTATGGGTCTTTATGTTCTTGATTCCCCATGTGACATATATTATATCTTCTGTTCATGAGTCTCAGAAAATACTTAAGTTGATAAAGTTTATTTCATGATATTAATCAAAGGCATAATGATCATATCACACTCCGAGAAACACATTTCTGTCTTATCATGTACACCTACACAGAGATCTTTTTCTTTTAAGTACAATATAATTGCTTCAAGAATAGATAAAATGTCGCATTACAAAGTTACAAGGGGCATACAGTAGGAGGAACATGACAATCTACTCAAAATATCCCTAAGCTAAGACTAAGTTCCCAATGGTTTTTCAATCATGGCATATGCCATACACCTTGAATCCCTAAGTATAGTGGTGAATATTGTCCTACACAAACACTTCAAAGGGATTTGCTTATTTTGAAAGGCTCTGTTCTTACTTTCTGATTAATGCAGACGCTTCAATAGTCAGTCTCAACAAGTCAATTACATATAAGTCATTACAAACATGCATAACTTTGGTTTTAGTCACATAAACTTGTCGGCATTTTTACTTCAATATATGGTTTTCAAATCTATTCATGTAGTCACACTAACTCCGAGAGATTTTATTGACGTACTTCTCATGCATTGCATTCATTTATACATATACATTGATCCATGACTAGACGGCGTTATATACGCATATATATGTATATATATATATATGTATATGGGATATGGGAAAAGGTTACGGTGTTATATATACACCACCATCTGATCAGCTGGTATACGATGATGATTTTGCCCACAGTGGCTGAGACGATATGATGGGATGCCCTCAGAGGTTTATGATGTTATGTACGTACAGACCTTTGCATTACATGACATTTATACGCATATGCATGATACTATAAATATTTCATGGTTTACAAAGCTATCATGACTTTCAGGTTGAGTCCTTTACTCCATGTTTCATCCATATCCTTAATTAATGTTGACTTACTGTTATGTTTCAGTTCTGCCTTACATACTCAGTATATTATTCGTACTGACGTCTTTTTATTGGGGACGTTGCGTTTCATGCCCTTACGTATAGATAATCAGTTTGACGATCGCTCATAGTAGATGAGATTGGCATTCAGCGAAGGATTGGTAAGACTCCATCTCATTCGGAGTGCAACCGGGTCTATGAGTCATCGTGTCAAAGTTTTGCTACAGACTTATGGGTAGGCCGGTACCCTATCCCATTTGATGTCAATAATCTTAGAGGCTTTGTAGACAGAGGTTCAGTTTGTACAGTATGTCAGAGGCCTTGACGGCTCATATGTATTCATGGTTTAAGAACGATAGTTTATTGATACAGTGTTGCCCACTTATAGTTATACATTACGAGTTGTGGCCATGTGGGCCCATGATAGTTACAAAAGGAATGACTCCAGCTAACTCGACCTTTGTATGTTCGTTTTGGTCGAATGATCACGAGTTACAGAGTGGTTCGCTCGGGCCAATGCAGCATCGGATTCCAGCCACGCCTCCCCAGGTTTGGGGCGTGACAGTACCGAGGGCTAAGTTTTCCCCTTTTTCTGAACCTCATAACGCCTTTCATCGGTGATACCTTTAGGAATACCCAATCATCAACCTGAAATTCCAAGTCTCGCCATCGATTATGTGCATAAGACTTCTGACGGCTTTGAGCTACTACTAGCCTTTCCTGTATAAGCTTAATTTTCTCGATTGCCTGCTGTACCAATTCTGGTCCTACTAACGTATTTTCCCCATTGGATCACCCTATAGGCGACCTACACTTTCGTCTGTAAAGAGCTTCGAATGGAGCCATCTGAATACTGGAATGGTAGCTATTATTACATGTGATCTCAATAAGCGGCAGATGATCATCCCAGCTACCTTTGAAGTCTATCACACAAGCTCGTAACTTATCGTCCAGTGTCTGAATAGTACGCTCAGCCTTTCCGTCTGTCTGGGGATGAAACGTTGTACTAAGACTTACCTGAGTCCTCAATCCTTTTTGGAAAGACCTCCAGAAGTTAGATGTAAATTGAGCTCCTCTATCTGAGATAATAGATAAAAGGACACCATGCAGTCGTACTATCTCCTTAATATAAAGCCTTGCATAATCCTCTGCAGAATATGCAGTCCTAATGGGCGAAAAATGGGCTGACTTTATAAGCCTATCAACATTCACCCATATCGAATCGAACTTATGTCGAGTACGAGGTAAGCCTACGATGAAATCCATATTGATTACTTCCCGCTTCCAAGTCAGAATCTCTATAGCCTGCAATTATCCACCAGGTTTTTGGTGCTCAATCTTGACTTGTTGACAGTTAGGGCACTGAGGAACAAACTCTGCTATATCCTTTTTCATTCCCTCCCACCAATATATATCCCTGATATCACGATATATCTTGGTTGCTCCTGGATGAATAGAATAACGAGAATGTGAGTTTCCCATAACCTGCCGATACAGCCCTACAACATTAGGGACACCTAATCGTCCTTGATATCTGAGGACCCCATCTTCTGTAATCTCAAACGGCGTCTTCTCCTTCTGAGGGGTGGTATTCCTATAATGAACTAACACAAGATCCTCGTACTGGCGTTCCTTTACTTCAGTTACTAAAGAGGACGTTGTCGTATCCTGAATAGTAATTCTAATATCACCCGAGTCCAGTAACCGAAATCCAAGACTAGCTATCTGATGAACCTCATGGGCTATTCCCCTCTTTTCTGGCTGTAAATATGACAGGCTACCCATAGATCTATGGCTGAGGGTGTCGGCTACTATGTTCGCCTTCCCCAGATGGTATAAAATATCAACGTCATAGTCTTTAAGTAGCTCCAACCATCTCTTTTGACGTAAATTCAGTTCCTTTTGCTTGAATATATACTAGAGGCTCTTATGATCCATATAGATATCAAAATGAATTACATACAAGTAGTGCCTCCATATCTTTAGTGCATGAACCATCGTGGCTAACTCTAAATCGTGGGTCATGTAGTTCTTCTCGTGCTTTCTTAGTTGTCTAGAAGCATAAGCTACAACCTTACCATGCTGCATCAGCACACAACCTAACCCAACGCCTAAAGCGTCATAATAGAACACATAACGATCGGTCCCTTCTGGGAGCGTTAGAACCGGTGCTGAATTTAATCTGTCCTTTAATGTCCGTTCGCAAGCATCAGTCCATTGAAACTTTGCTCCCTTCTAAGTAAACTGTATCAAATGTGCTGAAAGGGAAGAAAATCCCTCTACAAATCTCCTGTAATAACCTGCCAAACCGAGAAAGCTACGAAACTTCGTCGATGTTGTGGGTCTAGGCCAAGTCTTCACTGCCTCAATCTTTTGTGTATCCACTCGGATACCTTCACCCGAAATGATATGCCCAGGGAATGCTACAGAGTTCAACCAGAATTCACATTTAGAGAATTTCGCATACAATTTCCCTTTTTGTAGAACTCAGAGTACAATATGCAAATGATCTGCATGCTCAGGCTCTGAACGAGAATATACCAATATATCATCAATAAATACAATTACGAACAGATCTAAAAAGGGCCTTAACACACGGTTCATCAAATACATGAATACTGCTGAGGCATTGGTCAAACTGAACGACATAACACGAAACTCAAAGTGCCCGTATCTGGTCCTGAATGCTGTCTTCGGAATATCTTCCTCCTTAACCCTTACCTAATTGTACCCGGACCTCAAGTGTATCATTGGAAAACACTTGGCACCTTGCAACTGATCAAATAAATCATCAATCATCGGGAGCGGGTACTCATTCTTGATTGTCACC